AGAAAAAAAAGAGAAAAAAGGGGAAAAAACACTTGGAACGCCACTGACGACCACAGGTGGTATTCCACGGAAGAAAAAAACTACTGAAAAACTCCTGCTTCCCCCCAACCCCCCCTTTTTTTCTTTGCTGTCCCTCATCTTCACACCCCTGGCAACGCAAATGCAACTGACTGCAGACCTAAGCTATCTCCTCGAAGAAGGCATTGAGGTCTTTGCGTTCGGTTCGGGGTACTCTGGCCTGCATCCTCTGCTATGCGTCTGCGGTTCCACTCGACGGAACTGCTTCTTTGAAAGGGGGTTCCTTGACCGATCAACCCCTGTGGCACCCGGAAAAAGTCGCGAGTTCAGCTCATCAGGATCCGGCTTAGTTTTTCCGCTTTTGACGTTGAGAGGTTCAACTATCTTGTTGCTTCCTGTGGAATTCTTACCATTACTTCCCTCCGCTAGAAATACGGCCAATTCCTTAGAGGGTTCAGCCCTTTTACCCCTGCCCCGCCCCACCTCCTGTAACTCCTTGCGAACGCATGCCGAGTGTGTGTGGGGGGGAGGGGGGAGGGGGGAGGGGGGAGGGAGGCGAGGGGGGATGAGGAGGGGATGAGGAGGGGAGGGGGGAGGGCGTTACTTCCGGTTTTGGTTTTGGTGGGAACACCCGCTCCTGCCTCCGCCACCTTTCCTTCCTGAGATTGCGTCAAAAGACTCTGACAACGATTCTGTGCAACAACCGCAGCTAACAAATGATGTGATGACGGGGCAGCCCTATTTTTTTTTCAGGGGAGGACCGGTTGCTTCTTTTGCCCCATCTGCCGCTGTAGTGGCCATCATGGGAGAGTCATTTTGCCTGCGCGGCAACGAAACGGCGCGTGAGAAAAGGCAGAAAAAGGGATGCTGAAGGGCTTCTTCTGCCGTTATTCGTTTGCTTGGTTCATATGCCAATAGGCGTGCCACGAGATCCACACCATTATTTCCCACCATGCCTATTGACCCATACCTTGTGAAGTAGCAATGCAACCTCTGCTTTGCATTTTCAAAGCTGTCACTATAAACCCTTGTACCGCCGTCGTCTTTTCCTTTCTGAAATAAATGAATGCCATCGACGCCATTAAAGAATTTTTCATACAGTGCGTACTGCTCCATACTAGGGAAATTGCTCTCAGTTGGCTGTCCTAAACGGGTAAAGATGCATTTTAACTGTTCAAGATTATTTCTACCACGAAAAAGAACGTTCCCACTGGCAAGTTCAGCAATAATGCAGCCGGCACTCCAGAGATCAACGCTGTAGTTGTAGTTTGTATTTCCCAGCAAGACATCTGGACTACGGTACCACAGAGTAACAGACTCATGCTGGTACTTTTTTACTGGAATACCCTCAATTCGAGAGAGGCCAAAGTCCGTGATTTTTAGTACATACTGCGTCGTTGCCCTCGGCTCACTCTTTGTCTCACCGACAAGGTTGACTTTGGAGAATGGCGTGCCGCTGGGCACGGCTTTCAGCACAAGATTCTGCGGCTTCAAGTCTCGGTGTGAAAATTCCTTTCGGTGCAAAAAGTACAAACCACTAAGCAAGTCCCACACCCATTGACGGTATTGCCGGTCATCGGTAAGATGGTGCAGTGGAAGTGTTTTGAGATAACACGACAAATCCCCAGCCTCACAGAACTCCAGTGCCATGTAGAACACATTTTTCTCAAAGAAGACGTCATAGAGTTTCACGACATTTTCAGATCCAAATAATTCCGGGGATCCCGTCCCTACCACATCCCGCGTCGACTTGGCGATCTCGTTCAGCACCATGATCTCGCGAATGGTGGAGGCAGGAATACCCTCCTCCTTGTGTGAACAGAGTGTGCGCTTGAGGGCAACAAGATTTCCCTGTGTCCCTCCTATCCTGTTCACATTATTGCCAGGCAGACTCACAAGGGTGGCCTTGTACACTTCGCCGTAGGCACCCTTTCCTAACACGTCCCTTTCCAGATCGAATTCATAGCACATCACGCGCACTTTCGAAGTTTTTGGCATCAACCCCCTTGGAATCTCAGACGTAGCAGCTATGCATGATGGCTGCAACATTAGAAACTCAACAATAAATAAAACAGCGCGTCCTCTCACTGCCGCACACTTCCGGTTGTCACCCTTCGCCTCTACTCACTTTCGCTTTACGTGTCCACTAACACGGAACCTTTGCTGCGCAACAAGGTGTAGGAAACACTCGCACAGTGAGAGAGCAAAAAACAACAACAAATAAATTGATAACGGCTTTTTTTTTGTTTGTGTGTGTATTCGATGACTCCCCTTCTTACTCCTATTCCTCACATGCACGTTCCTGCTATCTTTATTCCTCCTACGCTAGTAGGCCACAATTCCTACTCCAGCAATATATATATATATGTATATATATATATATATATACAGAAAACTCCCTTCCTCTTCTTTTGTTTTCCTGTACACACTTTGCTCCGTCTTTTTTTTCCTCCTTTCCCAAGTGTGTGGCAGTGACAGATGCATGTGGGTGTGATCAAAGTGAAGAGAGAGAGAAAAAGAAGATGCAGGCACCAAGACGTTGCAGGAGCAGTAACATGGCAGTGGTGCACAGGCCCTAACTTCGCCCTGCTCTCTGTTGCCGTCATTACATCTTTAAAAAAGTGGGAATATGTGGCGTGGAGGCAAATACGCAGAAAAAAGAAAACCAGCTGACACAGACGCATAAAAGCAAAGATAATGAGCGATTTAAAGGGAAAGTAGTGCGTTCAAACGACGGATGGATTAACACAATGACACACCAATAACTTTTTTTTCTTTTCTTTTCGTTCCTTTTCATTTCTCACTCAACTGCATTCGTGAGGGCTAATGGGAAGTGCTGCAAAACACATCCAATGACGCATGTTTTTCTTCTTTCATGTTTCACGCATACGCATTGTCCTGCTTCCTATTCTGCTTCTTTTACTTTTCTTCTCACCCCCCTCCCTCCACCCATACATGTACCCACCTAGATACCGTACGTATGTGGGTGGAAAGACACTCTCACTAGAGGCATATTTATTTTTTTTAACTCTAAGCGGCACCTGGCTCCTTTGCCGGCCTCATGCTGTCAAAGTCGTACGGCTTTCCATAAATGCGTTGGAAGAGCTCGAGGATGTTCGCTGCGGCGCTTTCAAAATGTGTAGCAGCATCATAGCTGTTGCTGATAAAGCACCTGCTTTTTTTGCCGTCCTCCAAGGGTTCATACAAGTTTGAAACGGAGATAAAGGTTTCAATGGTGTCGCCAATAACCCGTAGGCCTGGTAGAATGTCCTGCTCTGGGTCGGCAAAGTTTTCCACGGCTGTGCCTATGATGGCGATGTAATACCCTTCTGGGCATACCTTGTTATTTGCCCCAAGCTGCAAAATGTACATGTCATTCCTACGCTTCAATTCCTTTTGGGGAATGATGATTTGACATGAGTTGCAATCCGAGTTAAGGTTTGGAATGGGATGATTCATAATGGCGATGCAGCGAACCACCCTCCCGCAGGGTTTCACACGGTCCGGGAAGTATGAAGGGTCACCCAAAATGAGCTTTGCATAAGCTCTTTTACCCTCACTTTCAATGGATTCAAAGACCCCTTCTTCGTTAAAGTTCACCTTTGTCACGGGCGTTTGCAGCATATACGTACCACCGTACACGGCACAAAGACGGGAGAAGGCTTGCGGCAGCTCACCACTGCCGTACAATGGATACACGTAGGGTGAGGTGGAGTACATGTTAAATGATTTTTCATACAACTTGCAGCGCATCACCGTTTCAAACGCTGGGCGTTGCATGTAATCATCGTTGGTATGCAGCGCAACAGCATGACCGACAAAATCGATGGTGTCATTACCAATGCCAAATTCCTTGTAGAGTTGCGCCATTGTCATAGCCTGAAGATCGTACTTTTTGTGTCTATTGGGATCCTTCGGGTTGTAATTCCCCATAAACTGAAATAGTTTCGCCGCCTTGCGCTTCTCGAAAAATCCCATCAGTGGGGACGTGAGTGCCTCCGTAGCCGTTGCAGGCACCTTGGCAATCTTGTTATCCTTCATGACAAAGGAGTTATCAATAAGCATAAATTCCATGTTGTAGCGGTCAATGACGGTGGAGCGAAGAATCTCCACCAGATCCCCGGCGCACATGAGGACCTTTGGGATAAGATCCACGTTGTAGAGGTGGCTGCGGCCAAGGGAGGCGGGTGGAGAACCCTTGTTGAACTTATTGTACAGTTGCTCCAGGTTCAGACTGGCGGACTCCCCGCCGTAGTATGAATTGCGGTCCACGTGAAGAACTTTGTAGCCATTGACGGAGAGCAGCCCACTCAGGACGCACTCCGTCAGGCCTGTGCCACAAACAATGGCGTCGTAAGTCTCCTCCATAATTTGGTCCTCAAAAAATACCACTGATGCACCGTATATATATATATATATGGTTTCGGCAATGGATAGCGCAATGACCAAAGCCCAGGGCTAAGAGGCTGCCGTGTGATGTTCCCTTTCTTTGGGCAGGTTTGACAGGACACACACACAAAAAAAAAAAGAACAACAAAAACATTTTATTCAGCATCGAAGCCCCACGGCAGTAGTGCTTGTGCACGCCAAAGGCACGACACGGCAGCAACACTTCTCTGTGTGACCCCCAATATGTTGAGGGTTGGGGGCCTTCGATACAAAGAAAAATATGGCCCAATGATGAAGATAAGGGAAACAAACAAGAAAGGTACACTCACACAAGCAAACAAGATTCCCAGCGGGAAAGCACAACAATTCCCACGGAACGGACACTCGGGAGGACGTGTCCCCCCACTGAAACTAGGCATCCACCGCACTCAAGGCCTGCTCCAACAATCGACGCAACGACAACTCACAACCCTCTTGCATGGCCCGCCGCATTGTCTCGCAGCACATCACCAGTAGTGTCAACAAGCTAGGCTTTGCCCTGTGTCTGTGCTGCACGCATCTCCCTCTTGAGGTGCTCAAGACGTCCTACTCATAAAAAAGTTCCCACGCCCCAACCTGTCCAGCTTCAACTCAAAGTGAGCCTCAACATCACGCAATTTCACTTCAATGCTGTCCTGCTCCGTCTTTGGGTGCCGGTCATGCTTCCCGCCCCCCCACTGTTTGCGTCCGAGAGACGCAGCGCTGCTCCAGATGGTTGACCCCATTACGGCGCTGCAACTTCTGCAGTACGTTACCACCTCTTCCTCTTGCATAGGAAGGCCTCGCTCTGCTTGAGAGCCACCACCTCCCCACTCTTTTGGGTCAGCGCCTCTAAAAGCTGTGCGACCTGACCCGCAAGCATATCTTTTGCGATGCGGAGGCGTCGCAGATCTTGGCGCAGCCCTTCTAGTGCCCGATTCGCTTCTTCAACGACAACAGTTACTTATGAGACGACATCCAATGCGGCACGAAGCCGTTCTTGCAGTGCCTCAGGAGGCAGCTCACTTTGCGGTTCCTGCCGCGCCATTGCCACACAGACCATTTGTATGGGCGACAGCCTACAATGATCCTGTACGCGGCAAGCTTTCGTCAGATCTCGAATGGGTGCCTGCGTCTTTGCGTGCCATTGAATAAGCTGCATGTCGTGACTGGCACTGAAGACCCATGACATCGCTCCTGCAGAAAGCAGGTGCACTGCAGCACGGTGCTCGTGCAAATCACCACCACCCAACGCGTCCCAGAGGTGTTCACCCCACTTACACTTGGCGTGTGCGCGTTCAATTATGACGTGGGAGCCTCCTCAAGATGCATGCGATACACCGCAATGCGCCCGAAGGACCACCTTACCCAAACTACGTTTTTTTTTTTTTATTCACCACACAGAGAGACAGAGCCACATTGATAGCAGGAACCTGTTGGAGCGCCGACGAGAAAAAGGCTGGCAAGGCGATGTCCGTAGGGGTTGGCAAGAAATCACTAGAGGCGCTGCAGTTTGCAGTCAAACGCTCGCGCGTCCCCTGTCTTTCACTTCGAGACCAAAACAACGAGCATCGATGAAGCGTTACTAGTACAAGGCCTGAAAACAGCTTGTAGGCCACGCACGGAGACGGGAACATCAACTGCAAAGAGCCAGCTACTCTCTTGAGCCTGTGGTGATTTGTTCATGTCCTCACAAACCTCACACAGGGTGGGACGAGGATCGCTTGGCACAGCGCATCGAGGTTAGCGGTGATTTTAACGCCACACAAAGGAACATGAAGGAAAAGGGTAAAAAAAAGCAAGCAACAACAATAATAAGAGAAACAATACACATACATAAATAAACAGAAAGAGGTGGACGCGTAGTTCAAAAAAGCCACGTGCACACCTTAAGCGTGTGTTGAGCGAGAAGAGTAAAGGAGGGGTAAAGTATTAAAAAAAAAAACGCGGCCGCCGCAAACCCATCACCAACCACACCCCACCAATACGCACACGCACGCAAAAAGAATATGCAGTGCGGTGATAATGCAACAAGAACGACAAAAACTAAACCAAACGACGTGCCTTCGCATTCACTTGGAGTTCAAATACCCATTAAACGTTATGGGATACGGCGTGCAGACACGGTTACGCGACCATTCACTAGGCGTAGAGGGCAGGCTTTCCCCTAACGCTTCTCGGTGGCTTCTGCCCAGCGCATGTTCCACCATACGATGCCATCCCACAACCACATCACACGTGTAGCAGTAGTTTAAGACGGGGGGAAGAAGTAATTTTCGTGCTTCAGGATCGTTACAGGCCTTCTGATGTAGTATTCTAAGGCGATCCAACGACGCGCTACGACGACAGGCGTCGCGTTGTTCAATGAAACTGGAAACTACGGCCTTTTCCTGCCCAAAACAGACATCCCGAAACTTCAGCAGACACCTTAGGTCGACAAACTGCTTCATAGCTGTTGTTAAAACACTCATGATAGAGGATGCAGTTTCGGTGGAGTCGCTATTTAGCCCCCGTAAGCATTGTTCCATAGCCATGGCCGTGGCCTCAAGTGTCGAAACACCCGTTTCTCTTGTCCTTTTGCGCAAGGCTTTAAAAAGCGACGTGTATGATCCATCCACATCCAGTGCCACCCGAGGAATATGCTGAGGAATGTGCCGGTTAAGTGAGTTAGCCTGCCCCCAAGTTCCATCCGAAAGAAGCAAGTGAACTTTCTGGCCTTGAAAAAGGCTCTGTACAAAGTTCTCCACCAGCATGGCGCCCGACTCTGGGTATAAAGAAGCTATACAGAAGCCGCTGTCCTCCTCATCTACAACCGATAACCCTTCCAGATACAAATCATCTTCTTCCACGCCCCAAACACGGACGGAAGCACCTAAAATAAAGGCTGCAATATGCCCCGAGTTTGTTGCTCGCATCATTTCCGCCGCGTGCATTACCATCGTCACTTTCACGTCTGAGTGCAACTGATCAGAGACTATCTGTGCCCGATGCTGCTCAAGCTGAGGGCACATGCACATGCTTCTTGTAAACCAGCACCACAAACACAGGTCATTTTGTGCCGCAAACCATAAGCGTGCAGAGAGACGTCGCCGAACGGAAGCTTTATGCCGTTCTCCACATGGAAGTGACTCTAGGTGCGCTCTCCACTCTGGTGACTCTGAAGTCTGGAAGTACAATGCCTCCGTCCCAGTTGAGGGAGGCGGGCACACTGTTTGCCCTGTTCCGTAGTCTGGGAGTCCCACATAAGTAACGAGGCGTCGCATAGACTCCTTGTATGGATTGCCCTTGATACTCATTGCTCGCAGGATCTAGACAGTTGCGTGTGTGTGTGTGTGTGAATATGCAGTAGAGCCCAAAAGTTTTTTTATTCTCTCTTTTTTTTTCCCCGTTATTGCTTTCCGTTGTTGGTGCTTCCCTCTCCCCGTTGTTGTTTCTGTGTATGTGTCATATGCACGTGGACAACACCCATAACCAGACAGGCAAACGACACACACACACACAGAGAGAGGGAGAGAGATAGATAGATAGAGGATGGGGATAAATATGCCTGTCATGTACAGGAGCAAAAGGAGGTAGAGGGAAAAACAACGTCCATGAAGAAAGAAAATGAGGGAAAAGACAAGAAAAAAAAAGATATTTGTGGGAAAGCATAGCTCCAGATGTGAGAAAAGTCATCAACCCACTTTTATGAATCGTGTTTTTATTTATCTAGTTGTCGTACAACAACAGTCTTCAGTTCTCTGTCTCGATGCTTAAACTCGGTCATCTGGGCTTTACGTAGTATGCATTGTATATATGCTATCCACAACACTTTTCTGTATCCTTTTCTGTGAACATGAAGTGGTGATAAACTCAATCCTTCCCCTTACCATGGCAAACGGGGCACTCCTTCCCCTTTGTGCGCCTGGACCGGGTGAGTCGGGCAGCAAGCGTGGCCTCCCATTCGTGCCCACAGGCCATACAAAGCCACCATAGTTTGGTATGATCGGTTGGCTTCACCTGGCTTGGCTGTAGATCACCATTTTTGAGGGGATGCCACTCCTGCAGCAGCCCATTCTCGTCCTTGCTGAAGTCAGCATGAAGATTCAACAAGGAACACGATGGGCACTTCGCCTTGTCGGCCACCATATCCTTAATGCGTGCCTGAAAGCTGGTGCCACAGCTTGGACAGCGCCAGAAGGCAGATTTGTTGCTGCTCGCCACCACTCCCTTGGGGTCAATGCATGGGTCGTTGAGAGAGTGGTCCCAGAGTTGAACGAAGCGTCCGTCCAAGCACGGGTTACGTTCCTTCTCGCACTGCGGGCACTTCGTGCGAAGGCAGGTGCGCACAAAGATTCCACTCTTCCATTTAAATCCACACTCCACACACTTCCAGGACGCCACCTGCGCGCCATCAAAGACGACCTTATCCAACGGCAGCTGGTTGGCCTCTGTGTCATACTCCGCCGCCAAATCCGGGAAGCGATCCTTCAAAAAGCGGCTTTCCTCACCTAAACTTGGCACCGCATCTTCAACTGTGGATGCCCCGCCGGAAGCATCTTTGTCGTCTTCACCGACCTCGTCATCGTCGTCCAAGGCATCGTCGTTGGGCACCGCTCTAGACGATGATTGCCGCTGACGAGTACGAGGACGTTGTTGACGTGAAAGCGTTACCTCCGCATCCTCATCCTTGTTGAAATCGTCCAGTTTTTGTTGCTCCTCCTCCCACATGACTCGTCCTCCGTCTGTCGCCTCATCTACCCCAGCTACATCAAACATTGCGCGCTGATCGAGCTCATCGTCCTCCTCTGCCTCTTCCAGTGCAACTTCAGCAGATTTGGCCTTGCTGCTTCTTCTGCGTGTCCCCCGTTTCCCTGTTGTCGAGGCCACCGCGACCTCATCTTCGCTGGCTGGGGCTTTCTTCCACCCTCGTCTAGTTTTCTTTGCAGCTACAGGGTAAGCCGCTGTGGAAGACGAGCAGCGAAGTGCGGTGGACAGGGCCACCCCCACGTGAGAAAGCATAGTGTCATTCGAAGTACTCAAAAAACTCCTTCTAGACCTTGTCTGTATCGCTGCCGTCGGCGTAAATGCAGACGATGCAAACGCCCACCTGCTCACGACGCGTCTCATAGCGCAGACTGGGTGATATATTTTATGCTTTTCTTCCTCTTGGGGTTGCGCTGAAACACAAAATGCAAGAAAAGAAAAGCAAAGAAAAGTATAAAGTTGCGTGAGGCGAGAGAGTGCACACTCGAGTTGTATTCCTTTACGCTTCACTACCCACTCACCATCCGCACTCTCCGTCCACGCAGACGCAGAGAGGGGACGACAATATAGGCAGATTAAATACGCTCTCTTGAAGAATTGGCATACCTACCACGCATCGTGTTTTTTTTCTTTTTTTCTAAGTTTCATTTCTTTATAAAGGAGGAGTGGGTCATCGCCTGTTCTTATTTGTGGGACTTTTTGTTTTCTTTTCCCTCCTATCCAAAGACAGCCTCCCCCGTTTTGTCTTTCTTTCTTTTATTCGGCGTGTGGGCTCATACAGCGTGCATAAATAAGAAAGCAGGATAAAATAAAAATAAAACAAAATAGGCGTTTCAACAGCAACAACAAAACAAAACTCACAAAATATAAACTATTCAAGAGGGCCAGTGTATAAACAAACCACATATATTTTTTTTGAGTCCCTCTTTGCATCGCGTTACTATTATTTTACTTTTGTTTCTAAACATTTCTATTTGTCTTGTTGTACCCCGTACGCATCGTATTTTGTCAATAGGTGCGCTTCGATGGAGTCATCGGGTGGCTTAATCCGTTCATTGCTTTTAGGCTTCTCCGTGGAACGGGATGAGTGGTTAATTAGAGTCAGTCCACACAGGACACAGCGCCAAACTTAGTTGTGGGGACAGGGGGACGGGGGAGAGTAGCACTGAGAAACAGAACCTTGGACAGCAACGTTGCTGCTCACTCTACGGCGGGGCTGGTGGGAAACCAACGCAGGATACCTGACCGTTGTCTGCGGCAAAACAAGTAGGTGGAGCATGAAGTTTGGAGAGAGGGTGAAAGGGGATTTCTGCCACACTCCCGTGACAGAGGTTGATGCTGGGGATCCCAGGAGTCGTCGTAGCCGTTGAAGCAGAAGAACATAAACAATGACAATAACAACTACAGTCAGAAGAACAAGATTCAACAATAAATAATAATAATAATAATACAGGTCCATGTTAACGATAGAAAAGCCATGCGGCCTAGAATAATGCTTGGAGGGGGGAAGTTTAGATGGGCCCGTCCGTGGAAATTAAACCTCAAAAGAGAAACCCAACGACAGTCAAAGATACTAGGCGTAAAAATACATTGCGTGATTACACATGGCAATCTTCACCTCATACCAGTTCCGATCGAGCAATCACCAGCTTCCCAGCATATGTACAACACTTGACGAATTTGCTTCCTCTCAGTCTACATATTCCATCACCTGCTCGTGAAATTTTTTGATTCGGGTTTCAATAGCCCCAGCAGTTTTTCGTATACCATTGAGAAGACTCTTTTGCTCTTCGGCACTCATGTCCTTTCGACGTCGCGCCTCATATCTCGCCTTCAGTTGCTCAATGCTTTTTTGTTGAAGCTCCATGTCATACTAGGCTTTACCTAGTTCATTGTATCCAACACCACGCAATGAATTATTTTGGCCTCCCATCACCCCCGGTGGCCGCTTGACAAAGGTACCGGCACTGTCCATCGCGGAATTTGATGTTGGAGGGGTGTTTGAAGAGGCCCAATCCGCAGGGACCACAAATTCCGTTACGTGAAGCGGTTTGACGGCAAGCTTGTTCGTACGAGAAGTGCCGTTCTCGTCACGCATTGTTGGCTCTTGGTTCATTAACCTTAGCCCTGGTGTCCGCTTCGGTAAAACAGCTGTTGCCTGGAAGTAAATACCGAAGCCACGGCGCAGGGCAATGATTGAAGCGGGAATCTTCACAACCGCATTCGGCGCAGCTAGGAAAGAAACTGCAGAAGCGCGGGCTGCCTCAGAGGCGCCTACAGCTTAAAAAATGAATGGACGTGCAGCGGCAACCTTACTCCGCCGCAACGGTGTGTCATCGTCGGTTTGCGTACCAGAGTCACTTTTCCCCGTACAAATCTCCTTTTGCCGGATAAGACCCATAACCCCATAACGAGAGCCAAAGCAACTTTTGAATCGTCCCCGCGGCAAAACACTCTTCCGCACATGAGTGGACACAGAACTTCCACCGTGGAAATTATCTTGTGCCGCGCCAGCGCCGCCAAGTAATCAAACTTGGCATCACAATAGCGCTACCGCAAAGGCCCCTGCTGGAGCTGAGCTGAGCTGAGACGGGAATCACTGGAATGCGGCCTATAAACGGTCTCCAGGGGGTTCCTTGAACGGCGTCGGACGTCTTGAGTTGTTCGCGTGATAGCAGGCCTCGTGGTCGAGAAGCGTGTTTCTCCCGCGATATATGCAGCTGCAGGCTGTGCCAGGCCCTGAATCCGTTTGTGGACAGGCCAAGGGTTTCAAGGGGCAATAGCACTCCTAACTCAGCCACTTCACCTTAAGCGACAAAGTGGCAGCAGTGCCTGCAACACACCCCAGAAAAAGACGTGCGTTGCCGCTGCGACCGCGCTAGTGTACAGACTGGAGTCAGTGCCCGTAAATAAACGTCCACTGAAAACCTGCAACTGCCCTTGGATTAAACTGTGATATCGCAACTATAAGACGTGCGCAAAACAAAACAAGAAGGTAGCATCTACACATAATACGTCCGGTAGAAAGGCGGAGGTGGAGTGCCAGTCGCCCTCATATGCTGTGAACGTTGGGTAGCAAGACACAGGCCGCGCATCAACTTCTGCTTAGCCCTTAAGCACCGTGCTTGCGTTACGCAACAACAAAACTTCGTCACCTGCCTTAAAAAAATAAAAAAAAAGACGAAAAAAAAAGCAGCAACAACAAGAAAAATGATCCTGTCCCCCACCTTTTTTTTTTCAATTTCCAGAGTCTTGCCTCAATAGCTCTCCCTGATCCAGCTTCTCTGTTACTTTTATCCCTTTCTCCCTATCTCTTCTTCTCTTGCCCATGTCACTCCTCCCTTCCTCTAAAGACTTTACCTCTTCTTTTTCCTCTTTGTTCTACCTCATCGCCGTTGAAGGAAGTGTAGTGGGTGGATATGCCTTTCCACGACACGCGCTAGAGGAGCACGACACAACAGCAACCCCTCTCCCTTCTTACCTTGCCTATCCTCAGCTTTATTACTGCTGTTAGGCTTCCTTAGCGCGGGGAGGGCAACGGGCGAGGCAGCAGGTGACTCTCAGTACCTGCCTGACTTCATGGCGTCGTACATGTCCTTGTGTACAATTTTCTTTCCTCTCTTCGCGGGTCGAAGTCCGGCCGGGACAGCCGCAAGCACCGTGTTCTTTATAAGCTTGCCTCGCGGCACCCACTTTGGCAGCGGCCTATTGTTGTCCATCGTCATGTACACCACACCCGTGACGGTTACTGCAATCGACAGCGCCGCGAGGGCACCCACCTTCAGAGCGTTTTCCCTAATTGCATTTCGTTCTTCTGTGCCTTCCTTCTTTGGCGGGCCGTAGCGGCTCCGTTGCGTCATCATAGGGTCCACGTGTATGGTGCGACAAAAGGTACTTGTACGCACAGCATCTGTGCTGATGGTGACTGTCATAAAAATCTCCATATCTGTGGCGATGTTAATGGAACCTGGAATAAACGCAAAAGCGAAGGGAACCTCCGTCACCTCCAAGGGACTTACTCCGGGACCAATCGTTAAGGTCTCATTCGTTACTTTGTCAATTAATTGGCGGAAACTCAAAAAGGGATGGGTATGCTTCCACCAGTAGCCCACAGTTCTTGGCGGAATCACCGTGTCACCCGTGCGAGGGTCTTGATAGTGCAGGAACACACTAGTGTTTTTGTACTTCAAGACTATGGAGCGCACGTTGACCTGACAAGTTGAGACGCCTGGAAGTTGCAGAAATACGGTAGCCCACCCGCTTGGACCGAAAGTCGAGCTAAGTGTGTCAATACAGAGTGGACCAGGGGCGACCGCACTTAGCTCAAACGGCTTGTCAGGAAGGGACACACCAAGCGGGTCCAACACAGGCCAGTAGTCCGAACCCCGACATACGCCCAAACGGCCTGCTGCAGCGTACGAGTCCTGCAACAAACGGGTGACATACATGGAGAGATCCATGGCCACGTCATGTTTCGTTCCGTCTGTCATCAACAGCTGCAATACCACACGCCCCTCATAGCTGAAAGTCCGCTGCAATGCCTCAGAGAGAGCCCCACTACCAAGGGAGACACCCCGAATCGTAAGGTTCTGATACCATGTCGCACAACCCGTGGGCAATGAAAATCCAGAACGATTAAAAACATGCATCCGGTTATAAGGACACACTGTGCCGTCCATAGCGGGGCCCTTGCGCAGTTCAACAAGGCCTATCCCAGGTGGGCAATCCCCCACTGGAAACTCGCCTGTATAGGTAGCCGTGTCATAATTTTCCCCAACTTCACAATGAGATCTATTTCCTTTACACGTAGTACACTGTCCTGCGCTTGGAGCAATCCAATCTTGCGTAATCCACTTAAATCCAGCGACGTGACGATCTTCTGCATAACTTGTTTCCATGTCTTCTGTCACATGGGGGTACAGTAGTAGATTTACCCCAAAGGCACGATCACCGTTCTCAGTGTACTCAAAAAAAACAGCATCAATCGAAAAGGGTGTTGCCGGTGTTAGCTTTTTTACCACAATAAACTGTTGAAGGTCAAAAACAACATCGTAGGCCTTGTACTGAGCTTCAAATCCTCGTGCGGGCTCAATCCAGGAATTTGGGCGGACCCCCTCAGAGATGATCGTGCCCTTCACCTGCTTGTTCCCCACAAAGTACCAAACCGGACTGCCGTCTGACTTCGTTAGCTTCCCCAGGGTGGCGTATGGGAAAGTCCCCGTCCAGGTGGCGTCACAGTCATCAATCTCAATCTCCCACCGACCCACTGGAGCAGTGGAGTTAGGTACAGCAGGAGTGAGCAGAGGAGCATAACGGCATGAATCAACAAAAGTGTCACATCCAATGTGCTTGCCACCAAACTTCTGATACCATGAGGTACCCTTATTGTATAATGCCCCAACAGATCCAGTACCAGTCCCATTTCTAAGTGTTTTCCACCGCCACACATCTTCGCCCATGCCAAGAGAACCTTGATTGCCCAAGCAGCTCAGCTCAAAACCTGGCGATGTTGGCGCTACAACCCCCTCAAAGTCATTCGGTTCAAAGTACTTTCCTACCGTGCGATTAAGCGGTTCAAAAGTTGGAAAACGCACTCCAAGGTTGCCAATGATTGTGTACACAGTAATAACGATAGAGTTTTTTACCCAGGCCAACTCAATCCCATCAACAGCACGGCCGTCACGCCGTGCGTATCCAACACCAGGTGTATTATCCCACAACGCCGGTTTTGGATACGTTTTCCACGCCTTTTCATTGCAGGTCCCCCGGCATTTAATCTGTTTATTTTTCACCACACTCGGGTTTGGTGGTGCCGAAGTCACATTCTCACCACTGCCGGGCGGTAATGTCCATTCATTGCTTACCAGGATGTAGGCATTACCCCGACAAAACAGTGTATTGAGACAATACATGCTGAAGGAAAACTGATAGTTCCCTTGTTGTCTTTCAGGGCGATAAAGAAAGTCACCAATAGGAGTTAGTTCCAGCTTTCCCGCCTCAGGTGAATCAATCATGGAAAAATAACGACCGTATGCACATGGATCCTGCCCTGGCATGCCGTTTAGGGAGTCACTGAGGGCAACACCAGGTACCGTGCGGTAATAGTATACGTTAGCACACACCGGGACAGGCGCGGTTGTTGTGATTGGCGGAGTGGTGGGAGCCTGCGTAGGCGTCAAATCAATGTATGAAGTAAACACAGTGTACGTACGACACTTAAAGTCCTTTGTGCATAAAACATCAATAGGAAACATATCAATACCTTCTTCCGCTGGAGCTGAGTACATAAATTCACCGATAATATTTACTTCAAGATTCCCACGGGAATGATAAGGAGGCTGACGATACGTCACAAAGCTACATCCAACTATATCTACGTGTAATTTACCTCGCAGCTCAGTTGCTACTGGTACAATAAAATTAAACTGCTCTTTACACATGACAACAGGAGCAGTAGTTGGAGCCGGCGTGGGAATCGGAGATGGAGCCTCTGTAGAGCTCGGTCGTGATTGATTTGTGACGACAATAGCAAACTTCACATCACAGAGAGCCTCATTCCCACAATACAAACGGGCGTCTACAACCACATCTCCTTCCTTATTGGGCGCATTAAATACGAAGGATGCCCCCCCATCATGAAACTTGAAGGTATCTTCCAAACCCTGCGTTTGAAGATGTGCACGCAGCACGCCATCACACGAGGCACAGGTGGCGAGAGTCGCATTCAGTTGTGCACCTGGTTTTACGTCGTACACTAGGCGATTTTTGGGGCACTGGGGAACTGTTTTATGCAACCAAATTCGCATCACTCCTGCACAAATCACATTCCTGTCACACATCACTTCATAGGGGAGCGTAATATTAGCCTCAATTTCGTCCTTCTGAGAGGCGTAGACAAATTGTAAGGAATTCGGGCTCAGTACCGCGGCGGAGCCAATTTCGGGCTGAACGATTACCGCCCGAAATCCAGCAGGGCAGGCCATTTGTATGGCGCTTATCGGTAGCGTTGCAATATTCGTTCTATTTGGTGACATCCGCAGTTGGTATTCCCCCCAAGACGCAGCGCACGGCGGAAATTTCGGTGGTACCGTGGTTGTGGTTGTCTCCGTCGAGGGAAATTCCGGCGTTAAACCATCATCCTCCGACGCGTTTGGATTAACCTCATAGCGAAGCTTCGCGCGGCAAAGCTCGACACCATCGCAGCGGGCACTGAGTTCGAATTCCACCATTGTAGGCAGTGGGGCATCAACCACTGTGCCAAAGATGTACTTCCACCCATCCACCGGTATAAGGAGGCTCGGCGGGGCGGGCGGGACCAGCACCTTAAGTGACGCGTCTCTGCAAGGCACAACGGTCGGACTGCCAATGTACCCATACCTCACGCCGCCGGGTACGATGCTGTATTGACGATTATTCTCAGGGCACGTATCGAAAGACGAAACACCGACAACAGTGATGACCAGACACGCAAGAAAGCAGAGAGAGTTCCACATCTCTCCACTCCACCTTTTCTAGCTTCAGTCCTTTGCGTTATGCAGGTTTAGGTAGCACAACCACTGCAAGAGAGAAAAAGAGAGAGAAAGAATAGAAACAAAAACAAAAACCAAATACACACGGAAAAAAAAAAAAAAACGTAAAAAAATGACAAAAAAACTTTTAAAAAATCTGCGCCTTACACTTCTCCTTTCACCGTTGCGGCAGAGTTTAACAAGGTCAGTATATTTTTTATCCACTATGTCCTTGTAACCACACACTTACGTCCTAATTCGTTAGTCAACGGGGAGGAGGAGACCAAGCAGCTCCCTCATCGCCTACACTTCCTTGGGTGCCGACGGCTGACGGAGCCTCGGAAGGGCGCTTCCGCACTTGCGAAACCGCCTCAAGGAAAGGTAATCATTTCCTTTTTTTTTCCCTTCAGAGGCTCGTCTGCGACACCACAGAGGCCTCAGGACCCGCGCCCCAAAATCACCCCTCACTGCCGGGAGGATCTGCGTAACTCAGCGCACAGCCGTCCTCCCCACCGGACGTAGGAGTCCATCGGCACGCCTCCCCCGCGCATAGCGCACACAGTTCCCCCACATACCCAACGACTGGCCAGGCACCGCATCAGTCGGGCATTCCCCACTGCATCGTCAGAGGCACAAGTACGCTCCTGCAAACGCATCCCCGCCGCCCACGGACGCCTCTCTTGAGCACCTCAATGCTGCCCGCAGACCAACTCTCTCGGCCGGTCTCCTTTTGGCTCCTTTGTGCCCTCTCCCCACACCGCCACGCAGAAGCATCCGAATGCCTGTGCCGCGTGGACCGTCGCAAAAAGACCCAATTCACGACTTTGCCCTGGCCTCGGCCGTGCAACGCGTTCACCATCCGTCACAGGGGACGCACCGACCGCGTCATCGCCCAGATGTGGACCAGTCAAAGACCATGTGAAGACGCCGTTGGGCCAGTTCAGCCTCACAACCGCCTCTTGAAAGCCCTTCAGTGGTGGCGGCTACCCGCCTCACTCCGGAAAGTTTGGGGAGTGCCATGGACAACGTGCGACGCATGCACTTGCACACAAAAGCTATTGTCCTTTCAAAACAATGCGCCTTGCAGCAAACTACACATCATCATACATCTGAGAGAAGCAGACATTGTTGGGGTGATTAGATGTTTCTTGCGCACAGTTGAATAAATTTCATTTCCTCTTGCCAAGCTGTAACTAAGAAGGAGAACAAAGGTTTTTAAAGAAGCATTAAACCTCCGTATGTAAAAAATGCGCATGGGCGTGGGACAAACAGCCATGCCCCCGTTCTCTGAAAAAAGCAGACGTTGCCAATTGCAACTGTTCACATATGCAAAAGGGCCAGAATAAATAATTATATCTATGCATCAACGTCATAAACAAAGTGGGCACCTGACGATGATGATAGATCATGGAGAGCAAAGAGGGCTGTAGTATTTATGGAAGTGGCGGCGGTGGGTTAACTGCAAAAAAAAAAAGAAAAAAAATTAAAAACACCTCTTTTTCTGTTTCTGTATACGTGGGGACCCTGAAAAGCGGGCAAATGAACCCGCTACGTGAGAATTATGTGGCCACCTTCTTTCACTACTTTGTGCCCCTCTTGTTCACAGCACATTTTTTTTTTCTCATTCATTTCCTATTGAGTTTTTTGTATTCCTCTCCGTTTCCTTCCTCCTGTTTGTTTCCAACGTATCCCCCCACACAATCCCCCACGCTTTACATGCACTTACTGCACCCCCCCCAAACCTCTCCAACCACAGGCGACCAACTCCTGAATTTATTACAAACTCTCTACGCATTGCAATAAATCCACTTCGGCTCGTCATTCCCTGTTGTTCTGGGGTCTTCTACATATCATCCATTGTAGATAAATATACGTCGTATAGGAGATCAAGCAAGACGGGTTTGCCCTCCCTTCGCTCATCAATTCCCCTTCGGCCGTTCCCATCACCGATGATCTTCCCCTCCCCACCCCACCCTTTCCACTGGAGCAATCAAACAGGAATAAACGACTAATATTATCATGTTTATTGGGTCCATGCCCCACCCCATCAATATGAACGCCCAGTAAAGGTTAACCACCTTATTATATCCAACAACAAATGGGCAAAGAGCTCACCTCCTTCAGAGGTTGCCGCATGTAGGGGGTGCATATATATTATGTATAATATGACTGAGTCATATTTTGATTTGTTATATTTGTTTTTCATTTTGTAATTCGTTCCCTACACAAGGTAGGTGCTGCGTTGCATGCATACCTCCTCTTCTTTGCCTACTCACACCTCTACGCAGACCAGTTTTGCACACAGCAAAATTAGAAACTGTGTGTGTGCGTGGTGGTGGGGGAAGGGGGAGGGGGAGGAAGGGGGAGGGGGAAGGAAGGGGGAGGAAGGGGGAGGGGGGAAATGGTGTCGCTCTCCTTTACCGTTCAAATGTGTATCCGCGCACGGTCTCCAAAGCAGCCTGTGCCTTTTTGAGCGCCTCCATCATCCTCGTTGTGGCCTTGCGCTGCGTTTCAATCTCCGGCGGCTCGGCAAGTAGATCATCCACCTTTTTCTCGCTGTACAAACTGCGCACCAACCTTCCATACACATCCTCGCGCAGTTTCGTTATCATAAGTAGCGTGATGGCTTTTGGGACCTGGTCAGCGACAGTACCCTTCACGATGCCAAAGTATCCCTCAACCATGTCCCTAATGACGCTGTTAATTTGCTGCTCATGACTAGACATATCTTTGCCCAGCATAATCGTCATCGGCACATCCCCCATGTTGGGGCCCTCCACTGTCGTTGCAGTAGGTTCAGGTGTACTTTTTTTCGACTTATCCTTTCCGTCACTTCCCCCTTGCTGCGGTCGGGGTGTTTCTGACTTCTGCTCACCCTCAGTACCAAATATTTTCAGAAATGATCGTTGCACCAATTTCTCCATCCTTGGGTGTTTCACGTTGATAAATTCACGCTCCGCCTCAATGATTTTTCGCACGTGGGCCACGGTGGGTCCACGATACTCCTGTAGTGCCTGGCGACAGATCTCCACAACTGCCTGCTTCAGCTTAGGAAAGCTATCCAGCTTTGAGGCGCAGATATCAATAATCTTTATAAGCTCTTCGTACACAAACTGCACACACTTCTGCGAGGGCTCCTCTAGGCGAGAGATTTGCTCCCTCGAAAGCGCCACAAAGACCTGGTCCGACGGAAAAAGAGCGGAGTGCATACCGGCCATGTTGCGCGCATTAATGCGGATATACTCGTCTGACAGTTCCTTATTGGCGCTGAGTCCGTTCACGTAGGTAGCAAAGCACTCATTGAAAATGTAATCTAGTCGAGCGCCGCCCATCAACTCCTTGGTTGCATCGCTTGCACCGCCATCAATGGTGTGGGTAAGCGAGTCGCTAAACTTCTTGATAAGCGACAACATGTGGGCACTAGGGTCTATGTTTGTCTGATCCAACATGCCAAGCTTTTCCATCTGCTTCATGGTGCTATCCAACAGCTTGTTCACGTGCCGCTTAAGTTCAGGAATAACTTCCTTAATATGCTGAAGGAGAAGTTGATTCAGCTTCTTCGCAAGATACTCCGTACCCTGTCTGTCGGCGATGGTAGAGTATACTGGGTGGTTGTGAAAGAACATTCGCTCGTCTGCTCGTGAGCTCTCCATATCTTTCATGTCATGGATATCCTGTTGACTGCGGTTCACCACCCCAACAAATCCGTGGCGAAGACTCACCAATTTCCCAGTAAGAGCATCCAGCGCGTCCGTGCCGCGGTCCATGAGGTCGAGTTTTGTCAACACACCCACCGTGCGAATCCCCTCTGGGTCCAACTGCTTCGCAAGGCGCAGTGACGCACTCGTTGCGAGGTCTGTGTTGGCCGGGGAAATGGCAAGAATGATGGTGTTCACTGGGGCCACGTAGCGGGTCACCATCTCCTTAATCTGGCGGTCAATGTCTTTTGGCTGGTCTCCCACAGGATTCATGACAAGACCCGGCAGATCTACCAGCGTGAGGTTCAGCACGTGCCTTGAGAACACTTTAAGGTTAATGGGGCGGTCTGAAATGGCTGACTTTCCCGCGATCTCCACAGTGCGGCTTTTAATCTCATCGTTGATCTGCATGAAGTCAAAAAACTTCTTATGTGGCTTGTGGAGAAACTCCCCCCACTCCTCATCAGTCGTGCTGGGCAGCTGCACGAGTTGCAGCACGAGGGGACAGCGGGTCACAATACCTGAACCACGAGGGAGAAAGTCTTTCCCCACAATTGCCTCCAGCACACTGCTCTTGCCGGAGCTCTGACTGCCCACCACAGCAATTTGCGGCAGATTCAGCTTGATATTCATCTTCACACTTGCAAAGGCATCGTGAAGCTCGTTCACGACGGAGATTAACTGTTCCATCACCCTTCAGCTGTTGCTCATCCGGCGCAAGAAGAGATAAAAGGGAGTGGAGAATAGCAAAGGTGTCTGTTCAGGCAATACATAAGGTTGCACGCATGCATGCGTGCGGCGACGTCGCAAGAGCACACAGAAAACAGTATAGATGAAAATATTATATATTGTGCACGTCAGAGACACATTGTGAGGAAGAAAAATAATAATAATAATAAAAAAAGGAACAAAGTTTGGCAGGCGAGTTGGTGTCGTGCGCACATTCCATACACCAGCACACACGGTGTTTATTATTATTTCGTTTTGGGTGAACAAGTTACAAGCATGACCGTTCAGCCCCCATCATCCTCCGCGTGCCAAGGAACCCCACTGACTGACCAACATGCCTATAGGCTGAGAAACGCCGCGGCAAGTGACGATATAAAAACAAAACACACTACAAGACAACATAATTCGCTTCGGTGTGTGTGTGTGTGTGTCACTCCGCAACGTCGTTGCATTCCTCATCAGTCCAGATACCACGCAGCCTCTGCCGCCTCTTTTTTGCCTCTGCAATCTCCTGCAATACGTGTGGGGCGTACGGCACCGTGACGTTAAGTTCTCCCGTCACCACGGAACGCTGCACCTTCGCCGCTGACGGTGCAATCTCGCGCTGCAGCGGCACTTGAATGAGTTTCCCCTTCACCACCACGCGAATGTAATCCACCTCAATCTGCAAATCTATAAGGGTAGTGGAGAGAAACTTTGGCACCCCCACGGTGAGAATCACCGCCTCCTCGTTACTCTCTTCATCCAGCCGAATCGGCAGCTTGGGCTCATTTCGGAGCAGCAGCCGACCATACTTCGCAATCTCCTCTTCGGCACTAAGACGCTGTGGAGGCTTGTTTAACTCCGCGTTCAGGGACGCCAAGCGACTTGTTTCCCTCTCCTCCTGAAGCTTCTTCTGTCGCCGTGCCTCTTCCTCCTCCTTCTCGCGGAGCATCTGCAGTCGCTCCTCCGGTGTGTGCCCGTAGACCCGTTCCCCTTTCTCGTTGTATCGCGGCGGAAAGACTTCAATGCCTTGCTGGATCATCTCTGCCTTGATCCGCTCGTTCTCGCGTACACGCAGTGCCTCCTCGTCCACAACCGCGGCCACGTCGCTCTTGCACTGGCGCGCCTCGATACGCTCCGAGCGCACCACCTCCTCCCCGTCTAGATCTCGCAATTGCGGCAGCGCATGAATGACGTAGGCACGGTAGCCCTCAACCTTTGTGCACGGATTGCCAGTGAGGTGTAGCTGATCCAGAAAGGCGTTCGCCTGCAGTCGTCGTACACACGTCATATCTTTCACAAAGTTCAGCGTCAGATCTAACCGCTCAAGCGCCTCGCAGCCCTCCAACCCCTCGATGCAAGTGATGTTGTTCACAGCCAAGTTTAAGTACTTAAGGCACTTGAGGTGGTGGAGCCCCTCTATCCGCGAAATGTAGTTGTTGCACAGGTACAGAATCTCCAGCTCACGGCATGTGTCCCCAACCACCTCAATCTTCTCAATGTCTTGCTGGTGCAGGGTAATTTCCTTCAAATTGCTTAGACACCCCTCATTGTGCTCCGCGCGACGACGCAAAAGCTCAACCGTAATGCGCCCCATTATCCTCCTAATCCGCCGCAGTTCTACTCTCTGAACGCAGAGGTGTTCTCCCTCCCTATTTGGGTGCCGTACAAGGCAAAAAAAAAACAACAACAAAAACAGACACCCAGCAATTGAATATATGTATATATTATACACTCTCTCCACCTCGTCCCCCACCCCCCCCTTTTTTTTTACAGCCTCGTTCTTCTGGAAAATAAAGAAGGTATCAAAACATGGGAACAAAACTCCAGCAGAGAGAAGGAAAAAACAACAACAACAGTGAATTGTGCACATCACTAGCAACAAAGTACAGAAGTAAAGAGACCATGTGTATGCATAAGAAAAAAAAAATAGAAGAAGGGAGTTGCTTTCACAACTTTGACGGTGGCGCCACAGGACTGCTAAACACCATGGCCAATGTCTGGCAAGCTTTATTGAAGCCCTCTTCATCGCCTGAAAGCATTGCATCGTCCACCGCCAGTGCATGCTGAAGCAGCGGGGCATCCTCCATGCAGACATGGTCACGGTAGTCGTAACACCCTGACTTCACAAGACCCCGCCCCGCCACGGACGCCCGCAAAACCGTCAGAAATGCATCCATCAACACCTCATAGAACGGTGACGAGAAAGATAACCGCTTTAACAGTGTGTGAATTCCAGCCACTGTTGCGTCCAACAACTCGCATGAATTCCCTGGAAAAACAGCGCGAATAGCGTCACGATGACGAAAATGATAGTTTAAGTGTCGCCCAAAAACAAACTCGCGTGATGCATGATTCGTGCACGCCATTGCTAGGGTTGCCACCGCACATGCAGGCAAAGGAGTGCCTTGTGGACGGGAAAAGGCCTGATTCACGAGTTGTTCCGTTGCACTGATGGCATGCTGCATGTAGGACATCATTGCTGAAACAGAGGCGGGATACTCACTGCTCACCATTCCAGCTCCCATACAACACAACGGGAAACATCCGTTGATAAAGGAAAGAATTCCTGCAGCATTCGGCTCTGTTAACCACGTGACGCCCTCGCGTTGCCACAGTCGCTGCGATAGATTCCGCATGGCTTGTATTGTTTCTGCATCCGTTCCATCAGCCATGGCAAAGGCAAGAGATACCCCACTGTTGCTATTAGTGGTATGGCTGCTGCTGGTGACGTTGTTCTCGAGCACCGATGCTGCAGCCCATTCCTTTGCAAACAACGGCCCCGAGACGACGGCGACCTTCGACGGCTGAGGACAAATAACGCGGTTTATTGCCTCCACTGGCGTTAGCCCCTCCCGTGAAAATCCCCGGCAAAAAACAAAGAGCGGCGCATTCGCATGCCTTATGAGGCACTCACGCAAGCCAGCTGTTGTCTCCTCTCGCGGTGTACTACTCTTTTCTTCCATGAAACACGAGACAGGTATACAGAGAAAGGACGCCTCGCAGTACGCTGCTTTCTTTACTGGTTCCTCACCCATGACTTGGAAGGACATCTCCGATGGAACGCGGATGTTCCTGTCAAACATTCGAAACGTTTGTGAGCCGAATTGTAGCTCGTGCAGGTACTCCCTGTCGCGGGCACACATAGTGACGACGGCCCGCGCCTGAGGGTCCCTCTTTTCCATGTTTGCCACCAGCGACAGTGCACACGCTGTGCCAAGCTCACCGGCACCGAGCACCAACAGCCTCGACATCATTGTACAAACTGCGTTCCCCCGCTTAAGCCGCCTTGATTGCCTTTTCCTCACAGTGTTTTCGCTCGACAGTGCACGCGCCCATGCACAACACGAGCAGACTACAAAAAAAAGAAAAAAAAAAACTGTGCTAAAATAAAATGGCACTCCACCAGGAAACAAAAGATAAAACTTGACGCCTGTGTCACTCTGGGAGGTTCCGAGGTCCAAGCCCCCACCCCCTTTCTTTCTCCTATTTAGTCACGTGCCGCACAAGAGTCAAACTCAGAAAAAAACCTCAGTAATGTTGGTTCATCTACCTTCTTGTCATTGTTACCCCCTCCGCCCCATTTTACCGCCCTTCAAAGCTTTACCAAAACCACACAAAAAAAAAAATGCAAGACCAAATACCCATAGACACACGCACACACACACACACATACAAAAAAAAAAAACGGTCTCTCTTTAACCCCACACTAAACCCCTGGACAAATCATCATCTTCTTCTTCCCCTTCCCCTTCCCCTTCCCCTTCTCCTTTGCTTGTGTTTTTGTGTGTCTGGCCTTGCTTTCGTTTTGCACCCACGAGCCATTAAATCATTCTTTTCCCCTCGTTTCTTCCCAGCGAACGCCAGAAAACTAAAGACGGGCACACGCCTTAGCATGGGAAGAAAATGCGACTGAGTTTTGACCCAACACCCCACTTCGACCTCAGCCACGTACGCAGTCGAATGTCCTCCATAGCACAATGAATGGCCAACCGTGCGTGAGGCATCGGATGGTTTTGAAAAAACGCATCAAACTCCTTTGCCTGGGTCTCTCCCGTAAGAGAGGAGGCAACATTCTTCACAATGGTTTGTATACGGAAGGTTCCACTTCCCCACTGCTTGTCCACCCCTTGGAAATGCTTCTTGAACAGTGACCAGGCATAACCGTTTGGCATTGAGGGGTTAGTAGCTATTGCTGCAAAGACCACACCGCCGTACTGTGCACGAATGCCCTCATTGTAAATACACTTCTTTGCCGTGCTCTCAACACATTCAGGGTCTGTGGCCCAACAAAGAGCGCGTATAATACAACGACATACCTCATCGCTGTCATGGACCGTGGTGTAACGCCTCCATAAGGCCTCGGTTCGCGCTGCCGCATCATTTGGGCCAAGTCGCACGTAGGCTGAAAGGGACATGGCAAGTGTATCTAGCGAATGCACGCCACCTTGCATATAACTTTCCGCTTGCTTAAGTGCCCAGTTCACACTCGGACATTGCAGTGCATCTTCCAAAGACATACATTTCAACGCTGTAGAGATGGCTGCATTAATGTAGAAGGCACGTCCCAAGCGTTCTTCCACGGTATTTGGCTCTGTATTCAATAGCTTTTTGGCCCTTTCACAAATATTGAACATAAGATTATGCTGCAGGTCATTCCTCACACCATCATCATCCAAAATGGGGAGTAAAGCCTCCATGCTATTGTAGTATACCTCCCAGACACTCGTCCCCAATTCCTGTTCAGCCAGGAGTGAGGGGAAGATGGCCAGACGATCAAAGTCTTCATTCCCCATGTAAATGGACGCCAGTGTATCAGCTATTAAAGTACGGCGATCTGGAGCAGTAAGGGAGCTGTAAGCACCCAATAACGCTGACCAAATATTATCATCGTACCGGCAACGGAAAAAACCCTTTCCAGAGGGGTTGGCATTGATCCACGCGGAGGAGGCAAATTCTGCTGGGAGTTCAACTTGTTGTGGTTGATTCCCGCGCAGGGTGACGCGATGCGTGACCCCGCCCTCACCCTGAAGAACTACGGGCACACACCATAGTGTTTTCTTTCGCTCCACCGCAGTCACGAACTGACAAGGCTCTTGCCGCAGAACCACCATGTTGGGTGTAGGACGGGTGACGTGAATAATGGGATATCCCATCTGCGTTGTAAAGGATTGCATGGCCTCGGTGAGCTGGAGGCCAGAGGCTTCTTCTAACGCTTGCCAGAGCTGAATTGTCCTTGTGTCGCTGTATTGATGCTTCTGGATGTAATGGGCCACAGAGGCCGCCCACTTTTGTTCGCCCAGAAACGCCTGCAACATGAAGACTAACCCCATACCTTTGTCGTAGCTGATGGCGTCAAATATCTGCGTGATCTCAGCTGGGTCATGAATAGGCACCTCAACTGGATGACTGTGCTCGTACATGTCGCTTACGAGGGCACTAGTCACATCCATAGCAGCATCCTCGTCACACTTCCACGACGGTTGCAGGTGGTGGGCCGCGTCGTACCCGCACCATGAGGCAAACCCCTCCTTAAGCCAGAGCCCTTCCCACCAATTAATAGTCACAAGGTTGCCAAACCAATTGTGAGAGACTTCGTGGCAGATCAGCGAAGCCACTGACTTCAAAGTGGTGACACTGGAGGCATGCTCGTCCAGTAGGATAGACTCCACACACGCAATGCAGCCCCAATTCTCCATCCCACCAATGGGAAAGTCAGGCACCGCCACAACGTCCAACTTGGGCAGCGGATATTTGCATTTAAAGAACTTTTCAAAGTACTCCAACGCAAAAACAGCCGTCTTTAAAGCAAAACGAGCTTTTTGCACCTTGCCAACTGTGGTATAAACATTCACAGGTATGCCGCAGGCGGTGGCCCCGGCAGACTCAAGCTCCCCTACGAAGCAGGAGGTAAGGTACGGAGGGACGGCATGAATGGTTTCAAAATGATGTGTCACAATGTTACCTTGAGTTTCTTTAAATTTGAGGGGGCCGTTAGACAACACTGTAAACCCTGCCATGCTCGATGGCAAGGAAACGTGCAGAGTGAAATCCGCGCGCGCTGACGGCTCATCCTGGCAGATATAAAAAAGCCGCGCGGCAGTCGGTTCAAAATGTGTCGCCGCCATTCTGTGCTCGACACCGTCGCTGGTTTTGAAGACCGCTCGGTACAAACCACGCATCTCTTCCCGAATTTCGTGGGAAAACGCAAAGGTCAATGTATGAGCATCCGTAAGTTCTCCCTCCAGCCGCAGCCGCAGGGTCTCTGCCTTTTCATCGCGTCCCTTGATGGTGGCACCCGTCACGGACTGAACATTCATCGATGTACCGCAGTGCAACTGCATCTCCCGCGACTCCGCAACGTCTGGCGATCGCCGCAGCACCACCGTCTCTTTCCCCTCATACCGCCAGTTTGAAAGATCCACGCTTACACGCAGATCGTACGCGCTCGGCACGAATGGGTTGTGCAGCCTCACGGAGGGTGTGGCAGATGACATCCTTCCAACTCTTACCTCCCTGTGGATAAGATGCCACACAAAATAAGCAACCGAAATAAAACCTGTCTGAGCTGTAAACTTCCTTCTTCTTGTGCTTCCACGGCAAGGCAATTCCAAAGAATGGCAGAGACCAACACCACCACCAAGGCCGACCAGAAAAAAAGAAAGACAAAAAAAACTTTGCCGGGCAGTCACAAAAAAATAAAATTGGCACCAACAGAGAAGAAGAAAAATGATGGGGACGCAAACGCCAAAACCCGCAAACAACAGAAGGGCCAGCACGCAGGTGAAATGACCAGCAAAGTTATGTCCTTGCAAACGCCGTCCTCGCCACCACGCACAGAGGTTTCTCTCAGGGACGCAGAGAGGGGGCCAGCGGCACCAACAACGGCAATATGAAGAGAAGAAGAAGCGAAAGAGAGTGTATATGTGTGTGGGCAAGCGCAAGAAACAAAAGCAAAAACAAAAAAAAGGCTGTGTCACCAGTTGGTGTTGCCGCCACCACCGTTACTGCACTCTACAAGTTGGTCTGACAAGAGACGAATTTGTGTCTCAAACACCTCACGCGCGCGATTGGCGTCTTCTGCCAGCTGTTGGTTAACAGACATCAGCCGCCGCACATCTTCTTGGGCATTTGCCAATGCTTCCTGCTTCTCCGCCAACTCCAACAAGGTGTAGTTCATTTGAGTATGATAGCACACTGCAGCACGATCCGCCGCAGCCAACGCTGCCACAAGTTCTTCATTGTCTGCGGAAGCAAAACCACAAGTAATGGTGGGATTTGCAGGATGATCCACCAATGAAGGCGCTCGTGGCACCTCACTTGTTGGCAGACACGTCACCTCTCGCTTGGTGCTCCAGGCACGCGATGCAAAAGTCTCCAGCGATTTACACATAAATTGGAGAGCCGCTCGCACGTGGTCGTTACTTGGGGCATATTTTGATATTTCTTGCAGCTGTTCTCGGAGTGATTCCACCGCCCATCGCAGCGACGAGGAGGCCCCGCAGCCTTCCCACCAAAACCGTTCTAGCGCTAGGAGCCACTCCGTCGAGTCACATGCCTGTTGCTTAAACAACGTGCACGAGGTGTCGCAGACATCCTGCAGTGCCTCAAGAGAACCGCGAATAGCAGCAATTGTGCTGACGGCCCCCAGCGTGGCGGATTCAATAAACGCTTGCTTGTCTTTTTTGTGTTCAGTAAGATTGTGGCTTTCCACTTTCATACAGGCATCGATAATAAGTCGGACGTGCTCACACACCATTCCTAGCCAGTTGTTAAGGCTTGAGATAAGGAGACCCTGGACACGTTGTATTTGTGTTAGTTTTTCGTCCGGTGCCGCCGTTGCGGTGAGAGCCTCCTCCAGCTCTGTGACATGAAAAATCACACCTGCCCTTTGCACGCCATGCGCCTCAAGCAGTACGCTAAGTCGATCGCGGTAGCATCGCATGTCGACCAATGTGATGCCCCTCATTTGTGTACTAAATGAATCACGAAGCGACGCCACAAGGACAGAAACGGCGCTCATCAACGTGCGAATGAAAGCAGTGACACCCGTTAACGTGCCTAACGCCAATTCCTCGCGGACTTCACGTGGCGGAACACCCCCGCGCTTCGTCGCCAAAGAAGGCGCCATAACGACATGGATCCGCTGCGGATGTTCGGCAGTGTTCCATGACGAAACAAAAAAGTGATGACAAAACTGTGCCAACGCCGCTTGCCTGGTGCACTCCATATTTAGCCGGTCGCAGGCGTGAGCTGTAGAATCTAAAAGCTTTCGCAGCTCAGTCACTTCCTGCTGCATTGCGGTACATTCAGAGGACAGTCGCTCACGTTCCGTCTTCCACTGTTGCCGCTCATTCTCATACATCTTGCGCAAGTCAAACAGCTGCATATGAATAGTTTCATTTTCCGCCACCAATTTCTCTTTGTCCTCCGGCGACAGCTCAGCACCCCTTGTTCGCTTTGCTGCCGCGCCGCCGTCTTCTCCATCAGTGCCCGTCACAAAAGAAGAGAGACCCTTCAGTGTTGTCCTCACTGAGGCTGCAAAATGCCCACGCTTTCGTCCCACCCCCAACTCTCCCTCCGCCGCGTTGAGATCTCTGCGGAGCGTCATGTTCTCCTCCTGCACGCGCGCCAGCTCCGCGCCAATAGCGGCCATCTGGTCCTGAAGTTGTTTGTTGTGCTGCTCAAGCATCTGCTTTTGTTTTGTCACGCTGACAACAGCCTTCTTCAGCAGCGATATTTTTGCTTCGGCATCGCCATGAGCCATAAGCGCCACAACCTCCTCCTTGCTTGACATGTGTGCCCCCCAAGAAGCGATCCCTCCCCGTTTGTTGCAAAAAACAAAACAAAAAAGAACACACACACGCACACAAACAAACAACGTGAAAGTAAGAAGGTCAAAATGGAAGCAAACAATGAAGCGACGTCAAAAACATCGATATATATATATATATATATATCGTGAGAAATAAAAAGAGGAAAAACATGACACACACAATGGGGAGAAGAAAAACGCGCATGCGGGAAAAGAAATTGATGCTGACACTAAGTATTAAACCTCAGAGCTGACGCGACACAGGTGTGCCTCTTCCACTCATTTTCTTCACCCCCCCCGACAACGCGGCCCAGCAGTGACACGCAGAGGCATATCCTCCCCTCCCCGCGTGCACACACAGAGAAATAATGAGCAGCAAGTCAGAAAAAGGAGTTCACAGAACTGTGCTTCCATTACTTTCAGTCGGTTGCCGCAAGTTAGACCAAGCTCACCCGCCCATCCAAAATGTACGGACGGAAAGCACGATAGGGAACTAGAAAGATCTCGCCAGCATGGACTGTTTGCTCCGCATCTTCGCCCAAGCGCACCACGCCGAGGTCGTCCAAGACGACACAAAAGACGTACTGATCCAAGTCCGGCACGGGCAGCAGCTCAACCCCCTCCGCGTACGGGGGGTTCGGGACAAGGTACTGCAGCTCTGCTGGAGCGGACTGCAAACCAGCCTGAAGAACATACTTGGACATCAGTTCAGCGAGTCGGTCGGCAACAATTACTTCGTTGTGCGACAACCTTTCCCGCAGCTGTGTCGGTGCATCGCTATTCGCCTGGCCCTCGTAATATATAGACAAGGCCAACGACTCAATTTTCCGCAGACGACAGCGCAGAAGTTCTGAAAGAAAGAACTGAGCGCGTTGCACCTCAAGTGCCATAATATCAGAAGGCTGAAAAGGAAGCAGCGATGTACCAGGGTCTCTCTCGGCTGTTTGCCGCCTTTCTTCCGCACTCAAACGTCTAATCTGCTCGTTCTGTGCTGCTATCTGAGCGGCCACGCCGTCCACAACTGCCTCGGGGTAGGGCAGAATATCCGGTGCACAGCGCTCATTCTCCGTCGCCTGAATGATGGACTTGAGAAGGCCACTGAGGGCAGCTGAGGAGGGGAGTCGGGGGGCTTCACTGCTGTCCGCATTGCCAGTTGATCGTCGGTCAGCGACGGCGTCAGGGCTGTTGTCCCTGCTAAGGGACTCGTCCAGGTGGTCCTCGAAGAACATCCCCGCGGAACCCTCTACCAACGAGACGTAAAACGAAATCAACACACACACATAAGATCGCAGAGACCCGGGGGTTGGAGACAAAACACTGCACAACAGGGAAACAGAGCTAATATGTTCGTCATCAGTCAAACTCAATCAAATACACAGCAGGACATACAAATGCACATGAAAATACACGGAAGCAAAAGGCAAAATACACACACCAACAAAATACATGAAAGCACCAACCTGACACACTCCCCAGAAGACGTCATCAATACACTCCGGAAAGCAACATTTTAAAAAGGAAAAAACAAGTGCCGCCAACCATCAAGCAGAGAATTCTCAACTCATGGTACATTCTTCATGTGGCACAACATGTGGCAACACACGCGGCTGTGAAGGAAGTATGGCGGTGGAGCAGACGGCCTGAGGAGGTGTTTCACCTGTTTTCGCCAAAGGGTCAGCGTCATGCGGTAATGGAGACTCACAAAGCGGTGTAGAGAGGCAATGTCCAGCATTGACAAGCCATACGGAAGGAGACCCACCTTGCAGCTCACCGACTTTCCAAGTGCAGTCACCAGTGCCCAACGCGATATCTTGACCTGACCTCTGCCAGCGCGGCAACGGGCTGCTGAGCTCAACCCATTCATGCATCATCATTGAGTTCGCCATCTGCTTCCGTAGCCATTGCACACGCACGCCATCCCAACGACACCCAGTAAGATCACCCAAACACCTCGTCAAGATCTCCCTATAATGACAATTTTCCTCCCTGGTTATCGTGGAGCGCACAATGGACTCGGCGGTAAGTAACGCACTTTTCTCTTTCACGTAGCAGTCCAAGTGCGAATGCCGCCAACGGCGTCGATCCACAAGAAATTCCTCAAACGTAGTTTCCATCTTCGATCTCTCCCGCCTCTCCTCCATCTCCAAACGCTGTAACGCCTCACGAAACCTCTTGGATTCACACTCTTGAATTTGGTGGCGATGTTGCCAGCCAGGATCCTCTATCTCGCTAGCACCAGACCTTGCAGACGACACCACACTACGCGGCGCCGTTGTTAGCCCTCCACAGGAATGAAGAGATACTCTTGAAGAGGGCTTCCACTGATGGTGCCATGCATCATGCAAAGCGTTCAGCGAATGCCGAGCTGAGGAGTGACGAAGAACGTTTTCTGTCCATCCATTACTCTGAATAACCCACGCAAGTGCAGAAAGGTTAGGTCGACGACAGGGTGCTCGATCAACAAGTGATAAAGGCCGGGGAGGCAAAGTGGGGCTTTTCAAAGCCTTCTCCTTTCCCTGGGGCCGCATGACATACGTTGTGGCAGGGCCATGGTACTCCTCGAAGAGCGACGCACTCCTCCTTTCACCACCAACCGCGGCCGATACTCCAGAGGCCGCCCTCGCGCCATCCTCGCGAAGTAGGTGAAAGTAAGCAAATCGTGCCTGTGCTCCCAAGGGCTGCGAAAAAGGGGAGCACCCATCCTGTATGTACGTCTGGAGCGTGGCTGCATCGGCATTTTCTACAATTTGCGTCAGAGCCCTTGCGTCCATAGCACCTTGTGGCCTCTGGTGGCAGTGTACAGCCCCACACAAATCCTCCTCCTTGGTGGGCACAATTCAACCACAAAGAGAAGAACTACAGAAACAGCAACAGAGGTGTCCATGTAGCACTTCAATACAAAAAAAAAGTGGTAACAACAACAACAACAACAGCAAGGAGAAAACGGCCGCGCCCCGCTTAGTCAGAGCGATTCGAAGAATCAGCGCATCCTCGCCCAAAGATAAAAGAAGACATAACAAGTAACTATAAAAGCTTAAAATAAGTTTTAAAAAATCTTATTCCCCTCTAAATTCCTCTGCACGCTCCGGAAACATGTATGCACGCACCCTTGACAACTGCATCACATGCCCACGAATACACGTACTTTAAATATCGACAAACTCAAACGACAAAGCCGAATCTTGGTGGTTCCCCTCAACAATCTCCGCTTCTCCTAAATGTTTATTGCCCTACAAGATATCTGCGAATTGGTGCCACATATTGCTCACTCTTCCTCTTCGCCAGCATCCTGTCTAAGTGTTTTTGCATTACTTCTCTCAAGCCTTTTGCCACTTCTGCGCCGCTCGCATCCTTGGCGTATTCATACTTCCCAATGAAGAAATGCACGTCGGCAGGAAAGCCTGGAAGTCCCTTCATCACCGGGTTCCACACCTCGTGAGAGCCAGAGTAGACCATATAGTGAATCGGCATGTGGTGCTTGATGAGCATATTGAAGGTGCCTATGCGGAAATCCTTGAGCGTGCTTGGTGTGGAATTGAGAACACCCTCGGGGAAGAAGCAGATTACACCGCCTCCATCCATAAACTCCTCCACCTTCTCCATGATCAGTGCCTGCTTTTCCTTGTCCACCGAAAAGGAACTTGCGTCCTGTGAGTTAAAGTACACTGGGAAGTGCCCACATGCACGAATGATTTCCCCCATCAGTGGCAGCTTCCACAAAGCCTTCTTCGCAAATGCCTTGCAGTTAGCGAGAAAACCAAGCGGACAAAGCCAGAGAAAAAGAAGGGTATCAAAGAAGGATGTGTGACCCGCGCCCACCGCACCCCTGCACTCGATGGCACGCCAGTCTAATGACCCCTCAAGAAACCGCACGCGAATGTGCGGGGACAACCACCACAGAACCTTGCCGAGCAGGAGTCCAGTAAAGATGCATGATAATTTCTCACTGCTACGCGTTTTGATAATTTTTTTGCTGGCGGCAACACGGAGAGAAACACAGAGAACAAAGTTCATCACGACGAGCAGCGTAAGGCACAAAGAGAACCACACTCGTGCAACTATGACTGGGCAACGCCGTGTGTACAGAAGCCACATAAATATGGCGAAGAGGGCCAAAAACAACATCACGTCGTGGGCAAATATCTAATGAGGTGCTTACGTTTGATATAACACTTTTTCAAATCCTTCAGACAGACAGACAGACAGAGAAAAAATTAAAAAGTGAACTAAATTTAAAGTAATTAAGATGAATAATAATAAAACTGAAACAGAAAACAGCAGATACGCAGCAATACGCATAGAGAGATAAATTACATGTATTAAGCTTCCACACCTTATTGAGGGTTTCATTGTTCTTTTTCTCAGCCTTCCTTCGCCACACCAAAAAGAGCATAACAAACCAAGTAACAGATTCTCTGAGTAAGCATGCGTGTACGTCTGCGAGGAAGACACCACGTGGAGAGCAAAACCAACAAAACAACAACAACCAAATAAAGGTAATTAAAGCTTTCTTTTATTATTTTTGTCTTCACATTGCCATCCCCGCATAGGGTTAATGGTTTCTGCATGTATGTCCGTTTGTCTGTATCTGCCATTCTCCTTCTCATGCACCCGAGGCCCGAGCGATTCCATCCCCGGAAAGGGAGGTTACGGCCCGAGACCAGCCCATGTTCGCACCGACCACTGGCAGACAGGATGAAGAAACTTCCCCAACCTGAAGGCGGGGCGGAGGCTCTGAGAACACGGTCAAAGGAATAATAATAGTAATAATAATAACACTTTGCGCGTGCAGGGGTGCCCTGTCAATTTCCTTTCTTTTTCAACTGCATTGGGCCACCATACGCAAGTGCAACGTTAAACAGTAGAACACACCTGTGAGGGAGAGCCCACACCAACCTCGCCCACTTGCCCCTCCAGATGACACACAGAAAAAAAAAAAAACAGCGATGAGACATCCCAAATACAAATAGAAACATGAAAACCGTGCCAAAACAAGTAAAAAGGAAATAGAAACGCGGAGACAGAAACCAAATGAATTATTCTCTACATATTCAAGATGCAGTGGCCCAGTAAAAACACTGAACCTCAATTTGGTCACGTATTGACTACTTTGCCAAGTTCCGTCTCCCACACATGTACGTTCTTCCATACCGCGGAGTGTTCCTCATTCTTTATTCTTCTTTACCACCTTTTTTTTCTTGTTTGTTTGTTTTTCATTACCGTGCTCAAATTGCGTCGTGTCAAGACACCTGGTACACCCATCACCAGGGTTACCTAAGTGTCGGCAATACGGCGCACCACTTTTTGTTTGCATCCACGCACTCTTATCGTCCCTCCTTTTCTCTCATTCGCTTTTTTCCCCTCCCACTTTTAATTTAATATATGTTTTTGTTTTTGTTTTAATTGATGTACGTGCCCCTGTCACACAGCAGGAGCTATGCTACTGCAGCGTATCATAGACACAGGAAAGGAAAAAAAAAGGGGGAAAACCTGTCCAAAATTGAAAATAAATTGCCAATGAATGACAACTTTATCAAGAGCCTGCGCCCTCTATAATAGAGGAAACCGTGCTGAGACACACAAGAATTGCTCCCCAAACATGCGAAAAGAAAATAATGATAAAAATAGAAAAGATAATGGTAATGATAACAAAAGAGCATGAGGCTACGCATGTATTCTCTACACGAGAACAACGACTAATAATAATAATAATAATAATAATAATAATAATAATAACAATAATAATAATAATAATAACAATAATAATAACAATAGTGCATAAAGTAAAGGGACATTTGTTAAAGTAATGTATATATATATATGTGTACATATGTATATATATATACAAGAAACAACGAGGCTGTACTAATTAGTCGCAGCGACTTCTGCAGTGAGATCATGCAATATGGCACTTCAACAACTCTGTCCAATAAGGCTTAGATATCTCATCAAAAAGCAATAATAATAAAAATATCAATAATATCAACAATAATAATAGTAATAATCATACGCGCATACATATATGTATGTAGAAACACAAATATGTTTATAGGTTTGTATGCATGTTTTTTTTAAACTAAAAAAAAAGCAAACAATCCCCCCCCCCCTCCTCCCCCTCCCCCCCCCCGTTACGGCAGTTTGGAAACTGACTGCATCCGGATACCTATACTATGTGTTTAGATATGCATTCTACTTCATTAGAAAGGAGGACGCTCCTGGCAGACTTCGGCAGGGCGGTGGGCGACGTCTGGCAAGAGGCGGAACCTTCATACTCATCCTCCGCCCGCGCACCAGAACGGATCCAACTGGAGAGGTAAAGTTCCGAACACTTAATATTTCTTCAAAGCTGTTTACACCATCTTCCATATCCCCATTTCTTGCTACCGCAAACTTCCTTGTTTCTGAGCATGTGGGGTTTGCCCCCTCCTTCATTGTAAAAGAGTGGTGGGTTGCTTGGGTGTGGCGTAAAATCGTATCGGCGAGGATAGGGGCAGGCGAAGCAGCACTGTCATGTAGCCCAAGACAGAGAAATGGTGTTCCAAACGGCTGCTGCGCCTGGGTCCAGGGCAACACGTAGTTTGTGTGAGCGGATATGATAGGTGCCCCGGCGCCCCCCTTTGTTGGAAGAAAGGCGGAATTTTGGTGTTGTAGCGCGGCGGCATCCTGCATTGCCAAGATAAAAAATGGAACAGCTTGCGAGGCTGTAATTAGATGCGATCCCGCTGACATACTAGGAGCAAGCGGCAGCAGATACTGCGGACCCCCCTCCGTGAAATACACGTAAGCCCTACTGTGGTTCATTGGCGGTCGTCACTCGAACTACGTATGATTTACCTCACTTTGCTGTTGGCGCCACTCGACTTGGGTATCGCCAGGAGAAAATTGGAAACAAAGCGGCAGAAAAGAGCAAGCCCGCCAGTAGACACAGACGTGGTGGAAAAAAGGATAGAGTGACGCATGCACGCAAGCAGAACGAGCACGCGAAGCAACAGAGGTTCAGAAGAGAAAGGGATAAATGTGGTGAATCCACAAGGAGACCTATTTGTGTCCACCCCATCGTTTCTTTTCCGCCCCACTGAGCAAAATCTTTCACACCGAACGCACAACGAGCAGTAAATGAAAGCATGCATAGGGGGAAACATGTGATGTCCCATCTCCTACAATGAGGTGCTGATGAGCAATGCGAACGTGGAAAAACAAAACACATTCGACAGACAATGATATATATATAATTAAATCCATAAAATCTAGCGTGGTCGTCTTCTTACTTCTACCTCGCTTCGGCTTTCCGTCCTCATTGACTCCTTCGGGGTTTATTTATTTATTCCTTTATTTTGGTGTGCTCGTCGCTATTGTACTTCTTCACTTCTCAATTTTTATCTTTCATTACCTTTCCCCACCCATCCCGATAGTGTGGAGGCGCACAAGCAAAAATAACAAGAAGGCCGCAGCAAGGATTAGAATAAGGGTTGTACCATCTCCTTCGCTCCTGCCACGACCGCTATGCTTTGTCCACCCTCTTATAGAAGTAAAGAAAAGCCATAGAGAACGGTGGGTTGCGAGATTCTACAACCTTCTCATCATTGAAGAGCAGCCATTTCCCGGTCTCTGCGTCACAAAGATGGCAGACGTAATGTCCTGTTTTGGCGCTTGCCCCCATATGGCTTATCATGGCATGCAACCGGTACTGTGCAGGCCCATCCCCAATAGAAGCCGGGCAACTCTCCGAGACAGTCGCAGAGACGGCAGCAGACCCCGCTTGTTCCGCAATATTTTCGTGGCTGAAGACATAGTCAACCGCCCTTTCCGCGTTCATGCCCGTCTGCAAAAGCGCGTATCTGGCCACACCCTCGTCTATACCCATGCTCAACAGCATGGCAAGCGCCTCTTCATCCATCGCCTTAATTGGCACTGAAGTCCGTTTGTGTGGAAGATCCTCCTCCATCTCAGGCATAGCCACTTCGTCAGCCTGCAGGCCCGCACCGCGGAGGAACTCCAGGTTCAGCTCCAGAGGAGCTTCCACAAACACGTCAAGCTTCTTAACAGTCATAGTTTCCATGTCAAACTGCGCACGGCGGAGGAAGATGGGGATAACATCTGGGAACGTCCCCAGTCGTGTGGTTTTGGAGTACGTGACCGGAACCCCACAAGCACTGCAGCGACATTCAATGTCAATTGTTTGCATCAGTGACTCCAGGCACGCTTCTAAAGTAAGATGAGGACGGCTGGTTTCAATTTCCTCATCGGTGAGATTGCGATTTCCATTAGGTTTCGACACACTACGCTCCAACGGAATTGGCAGGGAGAGGCAACAATCGAACTCATGCGTGTAGCGCACCTTGCGGCACAAACTACATTGCACACGGTGCTCCATTGTCATTCTAAATATGTCCACTGGATGTAAAATATTCACACCCGCGCTGTATGACGGTCTAACGTAACGCCGCATTTGTTCTACCAAATACAAAAAGTACTCCTGTGCGTCCTGTTGCCCCGCAGTGGAGAACTCAGGATGCCTCTGCGCAAACACGCGCTTAAACTCCCTCACTGTGATGCCATTAGTGCGTTCCTGACCCTCTACAGAAAATTCGCCCGAGAGGAGGCCACTAGCAACCCGCTCGGTCTGGCAGCAGTGACAGTTGTAGGGACTCTCTCGACATGCGTTCTGATGCCAAGTTTCACGGTTGTGATAAAACGCCTCTCTAAACGGTTTCAAGGAGAAGATGCACTGCAAAACTGAGGCCATATAACAACTGTTGCCAAAGTTATGCATCCCAGTCCTCCCAGGACCAAAGACGGGAACAAGAGAATCCCCTTCCTCTGTGATACGGTTAAAATCAAACTGAGATGAGTAGTCGTATTGCATCTCCCCAAGCGTTTTGGCAGTTTTCTTTGCAGTTTGAACATCGATACCAAAATGTTTCATATGATCGACAAAGTGCACATCAGACACCTCGTCATCGCACAAATAACAATAAAAATCAGCCCCTGACGGCGTCACTGTGCCAAGTTTAACAACGGCGGGGTGCATCGTGTGCATGTAGTGCTGCACGGCGTGTCCGCTGCCCCCTGCCTGTTCACGTGGGCATCCGATCGCTCCACATGTCATGCACATCCAGTTGTTGAGTTGGCAGTCACACCCGTCAAAAACACATTTATCCGAAGAAGCTGGGGCAGCTTGAAAAGGGTTTGGCAGCTGCTCCAGGCATACAAGATGAGGACACTGCGGGCGCACAAAATTACCACCGTCAGCCTCGATTGCCACCTGTGCACCCATCGAAGTTGCATGTAAGATGCGCTGGTAACAATCCACCGCTAGTTCTGGTGGAGAAACAAATGACTTGGCGCATGCAGCACAACATAGGGCACTCTCATACTCTTTTGGGGCTACAACCCCGAGTTTATTTACATCTTTTACCTTATCTGCATCCTCCTCTTTGCTGGGAAGTTCTCTGATCCAAACATACATGACGTGTGTATTAAAAATTGAGGTGTGCTTCTGCACATGCTCAGCGCAGAGTCCTGTATGGCAAGACATGCAAACTAACGTGCCCTTTTCATGTTGACACGTCCGACAACAGTAGGCGCACTCCTCTTTGTGCACTGCCGCCTGGGGGCGTGGGACCACCATTACGGACTCATCCCAGCAATGCGCACACACCTCGTCTGCAATATTAAAAGGCGGCAACATTGGACTGGAGTATCCTTATCTGTTCTGGCTGTCGTAGTTTTGTTTGTGCTTCCCTCGCATGTATGTTAGAACATAGTTTGTTCCCTCCCAATTGTGGGTGTGTGTGAGTGGGCGTCGGTGTTGAAATGCGTATCCCCCCCCCCCCCCCCACGAACACAAAGAAAAAAAAAAGACAACGGAAGTAAAGAGAGATCACGCAAACTCAGGGTGATTAAATCCACTTACCCAGCACCTTCCTATACGCAGCACGTTACCTCGTCACCTTCCTATACGCAGCACGTTACCTCGTCACCAACGCGATCCCAACCATCTGGTCAATTTTCGGGACGCACAATTGTCAACAGAAACAAACAAACAAGCAAAAAAA